GATTGAGCCCCTGTAGTCACTTGGACTATTTTAACGATGTCTTTAATGACTTTTCGAGGACAGCAAGAGCCAGTCCCTCAAGAAGCCTATGGACTGTATGCAGGAGCGATCTTAATATCTTAAATATCTTAATTTGTGTTCCGAAGATGAACGAAGGTCTTACGGGGTTGGAACAACATGAGGGTGAGTAAATACTGACAGAATTTTCATTTTTGGGTGAACTAACCCTTTAATAAGAAGAAACTTTATGAAGACAGTTTACTTCGTGTATACAGACAGGAGCCATCTTAGAAAATAGTCTCGATAAGTCGATCCCCGAACGCGGTTCATACAGTTCAGAAGTTCGCTGAGCTTCATACAGCTCAGATCACTCAGCACGTCGTTCGTGGTTTGACTTATCGAGACTATTTTTTAAGATGGCTCCTGTCTGTATACGTGAAGTGAACTGTCTTCATAAAGTATCTTCTTATTAAACGGTCTGTACACTTACAAAGTTCTCAATGCTTCGTTTTGCATGTATGGAGCCTCATTATGTTACTGTGTTAGTGTGGGGCTATTTTGAGCCTTGTTAGTGGTATAAACTAGCGATTTATTTTACTTAGTCAATGCCCCCAGTAATAGCATTATACGCTAAACTGTTTTTAGAGATTAAACTCTTTACAATCGATTATCATGAAAACAAATCTCAGAGAACGGTTGACTATGTACCGATATTTTATTAGACCAAAGGTTCATTGTTCGCCGGAGTTCTCCTTTAAAGGGATACTTCAGGATTTAGCATTAAGCTTTGTATTAGTAGAAAACCTGTAGTATTTTCGAATTACCATTCTTTCCACCCTCATATCCCCCTGAGACGAGAGATTTATGTATTTTTTTGTCTGGAAAAAATCCTCCGATGACGCAAAAATCGTCATTTTGCATCATCCAAGGATTTTTTTGGCCAGAGGCTAAAGTCTACAGTCAGTAGTAGGGTCTGTCTCGCATGTTCTCAACCCACCCATAGAGGGCGATCTCACTCACAGAATGAACACATAGTGTCGGCCATCTTTTTTTAGAAGCTAAGCTAGCAGGCTCTTGTTCTGTGGAGAAAGCCGAGTAGTAGGGGTTTCCCGGACATGTCCGGCTGTTAATGTCCGGGATTCAGCTTTTGCTTTCTGCAGTCGCCATTCATTGTTTACATGCACAGCTTTTGTTTCAATTCTGATTGGTGAATCTGAATGTAGTGTTTACATGAGCGCTAAACAAGTGATCGGTTGATGTGCGTTTTAACATTGCTAAGAAATTCCCGCTCCTCCGTGAGAGATACGAGACCGGTGCGTCTCACAGGTGTCGCTCATCGGTAATCAGGCCACCGGCCTCGCGCCGTTCTCCCGCGGCCCTCACTCGTCCCGCTCGCCACAGGAAACATGATGAATGGCGACTGTAGAACGCAAAAGCCCAATCCCGGACATTTCGGGCGATCTCGAAACACATTTTCGGGGCAGACTCATCACGGAGACTCACTAGTAGCCTAGACTTGTTGTTTAACTACTGCGCTTTGTTACCGCTAGGCGTGGCCTCCTAGGGCAGTGAAGCAAGTGCATTCTGGGAGTTGTTGTCTTTCGTCCACATAAGCCAAAATACATTTTCTGGCTTTTCTCAGTCTAGAAAGCTCCAAATTCAAAAATTTCTTCTACATAAATGACCCATTTTAAATAGACATTCATCTTTCCAGAGGTGAAGTATCCATTTAACTACTGTATGCTGTTCTGAACTGTGAGATCTCCCTCTCTTTAGTGTCCTGAAGGCTGTGTGACTGATATGAAGCATCGAGAAGTGCAGTGCATCGACACTCAGAGCGGACGTCCATTGAGGCCGTTTCACTGTCAGGCTCTTTCATACAAACCCCCCAGCAGTCTCCCCTGCACCAGCCGGCCCTGCCTGCAGTGGACCTACTCGCCCTGGGGAGAGGTACCAAACTGAGGATTTCAATACTTATGTTACATTGCTAGATAAGGCATGTGACAGTATCAGCATTTCTTATCATGATAACTGCTGAAGCTTTATTCAATGAAGTTACAAACTGTAAGAGTTCAATAACTTTTTTTCTTATAACAATTTATTTTTTACATTTGAATACAATTAAACAACACTAAGTTATTATTATTATTAAGTATTTTCACTCCCCATCTAGGGCATGTTTTAGTTTCCAAAACGATGTGGTAGCAAGAGGTAAAAACGATATAAATACTGTTCGTTTTCTCACACAAACCTTAGGCCATCAATGTGTACTTCCATTTACGAGTCATTAAATCATGTTTAATTTGGACTTTTCTGTGCATGCTCTTTGAGGTGGTGACCATAGACCTCCATTATATGACTGACAGACAAGAACGGTTTGACCTAAAAATATCAAAATTGAAACTATTGCGGAAACAAAGACACCTACACATCGTGCATTATAATTGTTACATTTTAACAACAGCTAGCCATGGATTATCCTTTGCATAAAGAATTATTCACTGTATTTTGAAGTGCCCACAGTAACAATACCATGCATGTTCATGCACAATGTTATTATGATATATTATACCACCGTATATTGGTAACGCTTCCTTTTACAGTCCAGTTACCCATGTAAATACTATGTACTTATTTTAGTAACTACAACTGGGTAATAACTAGTACTAACCCTGAACCTACTCCTGTTTCATGTACGTACCTTATATTAGCCAGTACTTTCTAGGTAAGTACACTGTAAGTACTGTACTGTAAAAGGAAGCGTTATCCATATATCAACACATCTAGATAAATGTTCTTCATCTGTGATTGACAGTGCTCTAAAAGTTGTGGGCAGGGAGTGAAGGAAAGGCTTGTGCACTGCCCCGAGTATCAGCGCTGTAACGTCACGCTCAAACCCCCCAGCACCGAGTCCTGTCGTCTGCAGCCCTGCACCGCCTGGGAGACTGAAGCCTGGGCTCCGGTAAAAACACTGCACAGACCTCACTCTTCATTCAAGAAAAGAGTACATGTGGAGTTTGGCTTCAGATCTTGATGAATGCAATGTGTTGATGCACTATTAGTAATATTATAAGGTTTTAATTAATGCTTTAATTCAGCATGGGTGCATTAAAAAACACACAACAAATTCCTTGGTGAATAAAGCTGAAATATATGATGAAATATATGATGAATCTATATGATGAATATATATATATATATATATATATATATATATATATCCACAAGTTTCCTACGCCCCATGAGGCCTTGCGTCAAAAGTGGGCGCGACTTCCGGTTGGAAGTAAACAAAGCACGATTTGACATGCTTGACACTTGTTCATTCAACAGTTGACAGTCATTCAAGTTATAGTGATCCAAACTAGCTAACGATGTGGGAACACAACCTCAACGAAATTCAAAAAGGTGAAATAACAGTACCTTTACCCTCCGCAGTAGTATTATAATAACATTATTAATAATCAATACTCATCAAGGCATGGTGACAGACAGTTGTGCGAGCTGACAAACAATTAAAATAAAAAATACACACTTAGTCATTGTGCTTTGGAGTTTATTCAAAATTATAAATGAATGTGCTACTTGAATACATTAACTGGCACATTTGGTATTCTGTCAACACAGGCTTTGATCCTGAGTTTAGGTGCAACATCAGTAGAGAACAGCCAAACACATGCTGATAAAAGTTTATAGAATATTAAGAATTTAAACAAATGTACACAGGATGATTCGTTGTCTTTTGGGAGGTGATGGAAACTACAGTCGTTGGCAGGATCACTCTGATTTTGTTTTCAGCTTATGTTCAAAACAATCACGTTTAAGCCACTGAACTAGTTTAGTCCGGTTATACATACAACCGCGAACAGCACATGTTGTCCATGAGCTCCGTAACGACATCTCTCATAAAGATTTGCGTCTTTAAATAGTAAAATAATTCTCCGAAAAACAGCTAGCCTCTTTGCTAACTAACACACAAAATACCATTGGAATGCTACTTCCGCCGCCTCACCGGAAGTTTCACCCACTTTATTTTTTACAGAAGCGCCCCTCGGAAACTTGTGGATATATACGTATATATATATGATGAATCTAATTGAAATAAATTCTGCTCTAAAAATATGAAGCACAGCTTTTTCATCAATAATAATTATAAGAAATGTTTCATGAGCAGAAAATCAGCATATTATAATCATTTCTGAAGGATCTTGTGAGTTATGATGCTGAAAATTCAGATTTAATCACAGTAATAAATTACATTTTAAAATATATCTACATAGAAAATAGTAATTTTAAGTTGTAATAATATTTTACAGTAAAACTGTTTTTACTGTAATTTTATTTAAATAAATGCAGCCTTGGTGAAAATAAGAGACTTTAGTGACACTTTACTATAAGGTTCCTTTTGTTAACATTAGTTAATTTATTTGCAATCCATGATTTGCGACTTGTTATTCCTAGTCTGAAGTACGTGCTATTTATGATCATGTGGGTGGGACTTTGTTAGTCTAGAGAGTATTTTATTGGACAAAAGTTGGCATATGTCCCTCCCTGTGCATCCATGATGTCATCACGGTTTTTATTGATTGACAGTGCTCCAGAAGTTGTGGTGGAGGGGTTCAGAAGAGATCGGTGAGGTGCGTGAACCAGGAATCCGGGGAGGAAGAAAAGACGTCACTGTGTGCACATAACAATAAACCTGACAGTGTGAAGAACTGCAACCCAGAGGAGTGTAAAACTGATTTAGGTAAACTCAGTTATCTAATATCCCGTCCTGTTTACATAAAGTGGCCCCTAAATGTATTTGGACACTTAAAGGAGTAGTTCACTGATAATTTACTCACCCCCATGTCATCCAAGATGTCCATGTCTTTCTTTCTTCAGTCAAAAAGAAATTAAGGTTTTTGATGAAAACATTCCAGGATTTTTCTCCATATAATGGACTTCAATGGGAACCAAACGGTTCATGGTCCAAATGAGAGTTTCAGTGGATCTCAATGCTTTTTTCGCGTCATTTGGTTCATTCAACGAACAAAACGAACGAAATTACTCAAAAAAAGATTCATTTTGATGAATTATCAGCAAAAGTTTTTTTTAAAAGTGAGCTACTTGTATATCAAACAAATACTGCAAGATATTCCCTTCACTCTTATTTTCTCTACTCAGTGTCTTTTAATCAGCTGGTGTTTTGTTGATTTTTATTGGATGTATGAAGTCAGCTTTTCTCAAACAAGTTCCCAAACAGAGGAACCACAGGTTTAGTTAATTACATGAACTATCAGCATGATCCGCTAACACTGGCCACGTATACACTGCAGTTAAAGGCTTTCAATTGAAAACAAGACCTAAATATTGAGACCTGCATCTGCCTACTTTATTAACTCCATAAACTGGATCGCTTTATGAGCCAAGCGTTAACAAGTCTCAAAACGTGTATAATAAGTGTACATGGCAGCACTTCTAGCCTTACAAACATAAACAAAACATGATGCCTCCGTAGTCTGTGGTTTATTTAAAATTACACAACACAAGTCTTTAGTTGCTGTGGTATTAATTTCCAGCCAAAAAAAAATAGCTAATAACAATCACAAAAGACTCCAGGACATTGCTATGGTTACTACTATCATCTGTCATTTTGTTCAGTACACACGATGCGCTCGAGATTCAGTCCTCTATTCATTCTCATGTTTGGTTAGATTAAAATGAACCAATTGTTCTGTTAGTGTGGTTCATTTAAATAAGTGTGTCACCACACAAGCGGGCCTAGACACTGAAAAGATTACCACAGTTACCGTTGAGTCGCGCTAGCCTAGCACCGGCGAACTATGCAATTTGAACGACTGGATGAAAATTTTTGAAAACTGTCTCCACTGATAAATAACACTAAAGGCCCGTACACACCGGGACGAATATCAGCGCGCGTTATTCGTCAGCGTTTTTCAACGCGTTTTTTGTGTTCACACCCAAGCGTTTTTCGCTGACGATGAGCCGAGTGAACATGCAAATTCATTCCTTGACATTAGATGGCGCTTAATGTAAAACAGAAATAATAATAGAATACTATACTAGGGTGATCATGTTTTATTATGACAGATAGAAAAAAACGAATGAAATAATGATAGAAATGTCTTCTGTATTAGAAAAATAAATATATAAATAACTAAACGAAATGCTTCCAAATGTAAAAAAAAATAGCTCTCACAAACTTACAAAAACGAACTAACAAAATCTATTTATATCTTTAGTTTTCATTCTCTTTATCTTGTTTTTCTTCCTCGTCCACCTTGTTTGCCCATCTATATTTTGCTGTAGAACTGATCTTTCATCTTTCCCAGCAGTTTTTGTTTGAAAACCAGGACATTTTCATCACTTAAAAACAGTCAGGACAGGACGTGGAAACAGGACATGTGTAACGCAAAGTTGAGATGTTGCCCAGAGATAAAAACATAGCACTAGTTGTCGGATGAACAGATGCACGAGAGACGAGAGTTGTCTAGAGTTGAATCTAACTGAGACTAAGCACACTATGCGCAGTTCTCATCTCAACTCAGATTTCTATAAAGCACAAAGTGACCGTTTTACACATGTCCCGGGAAAACAGGACTGTTGGTCACCCTATACTATACTATTATTACAGAAATACTAATATAAATATTATCTTATAGCTCTTTGTGCTCCGAGACCGGCAGCTCAACATTCATCTTGCCCATAGGTATCTTATCTCTTCTTCGCCGTATGTGTGCTCGGCAAGACCGTTTTGTGTTTGAGCGCCCTCAAGTTGTGTTTTACTGTAACTTCAGAAGTACCAGACACGTGAGCAAACCCGCCAATCTCGTTGGTCGGATAGGTTTTGACGCGGCGCGTCAAACCAAAAAAAACAAAAACGAACCCGAGGCGTTTTTTTTTAAAAAAATGACGCTTTTACGCGTGGCGTTTTTCGCGTCGGTGTGAACACTCACATTGGCGCCCATTGTTTAGTCACGAGGCGTTAAACGTCGACGAATAACGCGCGCGAAATTCGTCCCGGTGTGAACAGGCCTTAAGGCTAACTTAAAAATGAGGCCCGAAGTCCAAAATCCTGAACCACCCAAATTTAATATTTTTGTTGTTGTTTTTCTTCTTCTCTACTTTGCAGGTCTGGTTTGCAAGAAAAACAGCATGTCGACACGTTTCTGTGAGAAGCTCAAGCTGCTGGGTCGCTGCTCCCTGCGCTCCATCCGCAAGCAGTGTTGTGTCACTTGTATGATGTAACACTTGCAGAGGTCAGGTTTGGGTCATCTCATCAAACTACTGGACTTGCTGCAGGCAGGGTTCACGGTGCTCTAGAAATGCAGACGTCCCTCTCAAATATATGAAAATACGAGGTTTTTACTTGAACAAAGAATCCTGGACATGTTTCCTTCCATTTTTTTTTCAAAGTGCATCCGGACACATCAAGCTTTAGTTACAGGATTCATCATCAGTTAGACAGGTAACCTATAAATTGTTTTTTGCACTCATTCTTTTAAACCCAAAAAGGTGTGTTTTGACGGGTTCACCCATCAAGAACTGGTTGAACACATACAGTAGCAAGACAAAACTATTATTTAAACATCATGGATCAGTTGAAACTGCCATGAAGGGAGCAAACCTTTTGCACGTACAGACTAATATTCAGGTTATTCATTAAAAACAGTAGTTTTTATCTGATGTGTCCACTGTCTGACCATTTTATCTGATGTGACCACTGTCTGACCATTTCACAAGATGTAAACAACACTGGTCCAGAAGCACTTCCTGTTTCAGTTTGTAACTGTTTTCTTTATTTGACATGTAAAGAAAACATCTTAAAGATGTTTGTTTAACTTTTTGATTCAGTTTTAAATGTTCTGTTGGTTGTATTTTATCCCAGCTTTTATGTAGTGTTAAAAAACTGAAACAGGAAGTGCTTCTGGACCAGTGTTGTTTACATCTTGTGAAATGGTCTATAAGGGGAACATGTTTTCCATTGTTTTTCTACGTAAACACAAGCTAAAAGGATGGGTTTAACCTTTGCGTTCGCATCTCACTCATGACACGCCATTGTAAAAATGCTCCTCTCAAGTTAAAAGTAGTTCAACTTTTTCAAAAAAACTTGGTTTTTTAAGCATTTAACCGCAAAAACGTGTTTTGTGTGAACCAGCCCTGAATGTGCAGTTCTTAAATGAGTGTACTTTTTAACTTATTTTGCACAAACCTAAAGTTAATACAGGGTTTCCGCGGGTTTAATGAATGTGAATTTAAAGGAGTAGTTCACTTTTCCGAAAACTTTTGCTGATGCGCGTTCCTGACCCTCCTGTTCCTGACCCTCGTTCATCAAAATGAACAAATCTTTTTCCAAGTCAATTCGTTCGTTTCGTTCGTTGAATGAACCAAATAACTTGGAATAAGATTCGTTCATTTTGAACATGAGAGTCACAAACGCGCATCACAGAACAGAGCAAGGCGAGCATTTGAGCTTATAAAACATAAACTTTGTTATATATTTATTAAATGAGTGATCATTTCGCTTGATAAGACCCTTATTCATCGTCTGGAATTGTTTAAAGCCCTTTGAATAGTTTGCAGTTTGCACTGAAAGTGTCTTTTGGACCTTGAACCGTTTGGTTCCCATTGAAGTCCATTATATGGAGAAAATTCTGGAATGTTTTCATCCAAAACCTTAATTTCTTTTCGACCGAAGAAAGACAGACGTGGACATCTTGGATAACATGGGGGTGAGTAAATTATCAGCAAAAGATTTTTCAAAAGTGAACTAGTTCTTTAAGAAGAAAAATATTTTTAAGACTAAGTAAAGAAAATTTAAGGAATAAATCAAGGAACACAATACGCCAATATGTTTTCTACAGGAGAAACACACTGAGTTTTATTAGCAACACTTCAGAGTTTGAAAATACAACAGATATCAGACATTACTTTTTAATTCATAACCTGTGCCCTCAACCATCTAGAATATGGAAATTCTTCTTCATATTTTTGTCTTTTTCCGGTGCAAATGTTTTAAGATATATCAAGATGCATTTACTGGAGCAAAATGACAAAATAAGATTTAAGGCCTTCATTTGTGTAAGCGCAAATCGAGACCTTTTTAAGATCCACAGAAACCCTGTAATACAATAATTTGTGAATGTGTGAATCAGTTTTTAACAGATTAACCCAAAATGTTGGGGTTTGTTTTGTATATTTGCAAAAATTGCTTCACCAAGCAAATAACATCACTAACATCTCCACATAAACTGAGAATTTTAACACTTTTTTTTTTCCTCTGCTACTTTTGTTGATTATTCATTTTCATTCGGTGAATACCGTCATAAAAGCTTTTCATTTAAGCTGTTTATTTTTCCTGCTATAAACAAAAGATTCATAATTCTAAATGCACCAAAAAGTAACAAAAATGCAAGAAGCAAGTAACATGCTGTTTTAAAAGAAGAGAAATGGTACTTTAAGCAGTATATTGGGTTTATAAAAGATTTTGGTCTAGTTTAGTTTCCATACAACTATTGTTATTTAAAAAATAAATAATAATTCCTAACAAAACACACCCATAACTAGATTTTTTATAAGTTGTTACACAGAATATAAGATAGATTTGGGTTATCTGCACTGTATTTGTGGTAGTTCATGTATTTTAGTTACAGTCATATGGATCAAACGTGAATATTGTATTCGTGCGGCTCATGGGAGCCTTGTGGTGCTGTAAACTGTTGGTGCTCTGTGTGCTTGTGAAGATTCAAGCGTTTAAGGCATTGTTAACAAGTTAAATGCACATTACACTGATGATGGAGGTGTTGCAGGTCAATCCTCTTGAACGTTTTATACTGCTCATCTGTACTGCTGATATGACCATCAATAAATGCAGTCAGGATGCGTGCAAGATCTTTCGTCTGTTGTTTGATGATTTGCCTGATTGCTTTCAGATCATTCTGAGATCCAAGCTCTGTTCCCAAATCTAGTGACTAGCGAGCTGGCCTAATAGCCTTAAAGGGTTAGTTCACCCAAAAATGAAAATTCTGTCAGTATTTACTCACCCTCATGTTGTTCCAACCCCGTAAGACCTTCGTTCATCTTCGGAACACAAATTAAGATATTTAAGATATTAAGATCGCTCCTGCATACTAGTCCATAGGCTTCTTGAGGGAATGACTCTTGCTGGCATCGAAAAGTCATTAAAGACATCGTTAAAATAGTCCAAGTGACTACAGGGGCTCAATTAATAAGTTTATCAAATGACGAGAACACTTTTGTGCGCAAAAAAAACAACAAAAATAACGACTTTATTTCAACTATTCGTTTATTTCTCCCTGTGCGCGAGTCAGGTTACTAGTTTAATAGCGTAAGCTTCTGTTATTGTACGTCACACGCATCACACACACATGACCAGCGTCGGCCAATAGTGAGCCTACGTGTGTCGTATCTCTACGCAATCACACTACGTTAACTGACTACAGGCCCATGGAGAAGGAAGTGAATAGTTGAAATAAAGTCGTTATTTTTGTTGTTGTTTTTTGCGCACAAAACTATTCTCGTTGTTTGATAAACTTAAGATTGAGCCCCTGTAGTCACTTGGACTATTTTAACGATGTCTTTAATGACTTTTCGAGGACAGCAAGAGTCATTCCCTCAAGAAGCCTATGGATTGTATGCAGGAGCGATCTTAATATCTTAAATATCTTAATTTGTGTTCCGAAGATGAACGAAGGTCTTACGGGTTTGGAACAACATGAGGGTGAGTAAATACTGACAGAATTTTCATTTTTGGGTGAACTAACCCTTTAATATTTCCATTCATTTGCTTGACCCTCTGGCAGTTCTGTAAAAGCTACTGTGGGCAACAACATGTTTTAAGACCTTTTTAAAGTCCAGAGGTCTCATTCATAAAACTGTGCGTAGGATCCTTACTAAAAGTGTACGTGCGCCCGAAAGCCAAATGGGGTACGCCAAAATATTCAGATTTATAAAACCGTTCGTACGCCAGAACCTGCGCAGAATTCACTTTATAAATCCCAGTAAGCCGAAGATTGTGTGCACATGCGTCTCCAACCCGAAATAACCATATATGGAGATTACAACGCCTAGTTTAAATATGTATATCTTCATCTGCATATCATTTGCATATGATTATTCATCCACGTGACACCATGTTAAGGTACAAGATGTTAGGAAAATATGAAATACAGGTGTGCCGTGTCACAATAAAAATATTTTTTTTTTAGATTCACCTGAGCTCCATGTACCTCTGCCACTCTCACACCACACACGTCAAAGTAGCCGAGCAATTTTACTCTGTTTACGGATATGACGAGACACTGAGGAGTGAGACGTATACGCAATCAGAGTAACAAAAACACGTTTAGGAAGAAGCATTGATGATGTACTGACTTATAATATAAATTTGGTCATTTTGAGCAAGTTAGTGTACTTTTATTATTCAGTGTTGAAAATATTTTCTAAAAAATGTTAATTTGTAAATTATAATTCTAAACTATTAATTAAATAAAAGGGATATTGTGGATATTATGTTATAAATATATTATTTCAATTAAATGGTGTTATTTTGAACTTTCTATTCATCAAAGAATAAAAAAATATTAGGCAGCACAACTGTTGATAATTATAAGAATTTTTTTTTAATTAAAGGAATGATTTCTGAAGGATCATGTGACACTGTCGACTGGAGAAATGATGCTGAAAATACAGCTTTGATCACAGGTCACATTTTATGTAATGTAAGTGTATTCAAATAGAATATTGTAATTTAAAATTGTATAATATTTCACAATATTACTGCATTTTTTATTACATAAATTCAGATTGGGATACCTTTTACCCGTGTGCTGCACTGTAAAAAAAATAAAATCAAATTTTAATTTAAAATTTAAAGTTCATTGAAATGGAAAAAGTGAGTTGATGATAAAATGAAGGAGAATGATTTAATCAGAAACTCAAAATTATATGTTATCTGAACTAAATAAATTATTTAAGATTTGACAAAAGAAAAAAATGTTGTGATTACTAATCATGAAAAGATTTTTTTTTACAGTGTGGGATCAGGATGTTTTTTGGATCAAACATATCCCAATCTTACTAAAAGGTTTTGAAGAACTCACTGATGTTTTGATCCAGGAAAAAAAAAAAAAACACACAATTGGTTTTTGTAATTAATCTGTTTCTTTTGAACAACCCATTTTCAAGATTTGATCCAATCCAATTACTTTTGAACAACAGGTCCATGGCCTAAATACAAATTTGGTGTGTCTTCAGACCTTTGGTCCCATTGTAAGTATCGGTAACTCTTAACGTCTAGAGGTTTAGACAGGACAAGCAGGAATATTGTGGTATTAAGAAACTTAGTACACTATAAACAGTGTTGTGCAAGTTACTTCCAAACTGTAATACATTAGGTATTACTTGTTACTGTTATTTAAAAGTAATTCATTACCTTACAATATTACTGTCCCAGAATTGTAATGCGTTACATTACTCAT